GGGGGGGGGCTAACAGCAGCTCAATGACACCCATGATGGACAGGGATTCAATTGGAGGAGGGGGGGGGCGGTCGCCAAATTGGCCACTTACCGTGCATCGTCGTTCATGGAGCTGTGGTCGATGGGGGCCATGAAATTCACCAGCTTGCTGTGAACATGGAACCTGCAGCAGAGAGGAGACCGTCAATAGGGGGCTCCCCTTACCCCCCAGGGAAGAACCAGAAGAGAGACCTAACTAGGGGTTTTATACCTCACTGAGATCCCCCCCCCCTCCCCTCAGCAGGTAATCACATACCTCTATATCACATCTTTCCAAAGGCACGTTGTCCACCTAGTCCCCCCCCAACACACATCACATTTCCACAACAAAACCACCCATAAAACATTTGGTGCCGCTGACGGTCGAACCTAGAACCCAACGCTGAGGGGAAAAGGACGCACCCCACAGATCCCACGCGGCAAATCAGCCAAAATTAAACGATCTTGCAGCCCTGTTTTCCCGGGATAAGGACAGATAATTAAGTGCGAGCGGCGTTCACGTGCGGCATGGGGAACCGGGCCTGGCGGCGGCGGCTCCCACGGAGAACATTAGCTCCTCGCGGATCCTCCTGACAGCCGCGCGGCTCAGCCCTCACTCATCCTCTCCACTGTCACTTCCCGCCAAATGCCACTTTCACGCCGTGACTTCCCATCAAAATAAAAGCCTCTCTTCCCATCAAAATAAAAGCCTCTCTTCCCATCAAAATAAAAGCCTCTGCTCAGCCCCATAATAAAGCTACAGTCCGAGCGCATCCCCGGCGTTTGAGCCGCGACAGCCAGGTTAAAGACGTCCCGCTCATTTCGTCCACAAAACCCCGTTATTCATAAAAATGACCCCCCGTTTGATTTAATAAACAAAAACTGAAAATATGAATCTCATTTGTGGTCATTCCAAACAGTTTCTGCTCAACCGTTCATGTTTCATTCCAAACGGTTTCTGGTCCCCAGAAGACACAGCATCCCAGACGGGGGTTCAGCAGGAACACAGGGCCCCGAGTTCAACAGCCAATGGCAAGCCAATCCGTGGTCCTCGGCCAATCAGACGGCCTCGTCTGCGAGCCCACCGCCCCTCCGTGAGTATCTCCCCTTGTGTGACATGTCAGATCATAATATTGATAGCTAACAATTACAGGCTTTGTAGATCAACAGAGCAGCAGCTGTCTCCATGGCTAATTTATCCTCTGACATCGATCGGCCAGACGTCGCTTTGTGAGAGCGCTTGCACTCCCCCCCGAAAGCCCTTCCCCCACCCGCTGCAGATAAAGGGGACCTGCGTTTGTTCCAAGGGGCTGGGGTCGCCACAGAGGTGGAGGTGAGAGGTAGCCAAACAAAAAATAGGATGGTTATGGGGAGTGGGGGGGGTCACATCCACAGTGGGGGGGGTGCGGGGGTCCCAACACAGCATCTCCCTCACGGAGTTTAGAGATAATTAACTGAAAGCCAAAGTCCATTTCAGACCCACGATGTGGCAGGCGTGTGGGCAAAATTCAGCACGGAAAGGTTACCGGGATCAATTAAAGAGCTTAAATTAATCGACTATCATTTACACCAAGAGTTGGCCACCGCCTGCAAGGCAGTTTAAATATTAATTTGGAGAAGGGATTTACTGAAAACAGACAGACAGACAAAACACGCATACAAACACACAGATAATCACAGTGGATAAATAAGTCTGCTGTCTGTTATCCTGTGTATTCACCTGTAGATCACAAATTGACCAAAATTATTCAGGAGAAGGAGAAACCGGAATAGAGTAGCATGACATGGACTTCAGGGCTGAGAGGTGCAGGCGCTGGAGGTCCGGGTCACTGACCTGATCTTGCGGCCCTTGCTGGCCTTGGTGTCCACCTTCTTTTTAATCTTGCTGCGTAGTTTCTGGATCGCCAGCCACTGCCTATGTGAAGGAGACATGGTGAGAAATAAAAGTGGAACTCGCGACCACCCCCCCCCCCCCCCCCGTGTGGGCCTCACCTGCCCATGGCCACCTGGTCATTGGGGTCGGCTGCGTTCGTCTTGCGGTCGATTAGCTCTCTCAGAAGCTGTGGTGGAACGGAGAACGTGTCAGTTAGACCAGAGCCGCAACCAAAACCACACCCAACATGGGTCCGATGAAATAAATCTACCCTTCCAACCAAGAGAAATCCTTCATAGTGGGATCTTAGGATCAGGGGCAATTCTAAGATTGTTTTTAAGGTGGGGGTATAAAAAGAGCCATAATTCATACTGAGGGGGTAACCTTGTCATTAGCCAATGATATGTCTTGAATCAGTGAGTGACAGGGGAGAGGGCACTCTGAGGGTCAATCAGCTCTCGGCTGTAACCAGTGGCCCTGTAGCCCTGCCCCTCTTTATGTTCCTGCTTTGGATGCGAGTAGCTTTTGGACATAACTGACATTTTGCTCAGAGATGGAACAGAATATTTCTCCGAATCAAAGTGACCTTCAAAGCTCAGCTTGCAGAAGCGCGCCCTCCATGCTGCCCTCTAACCAGTAAACACACTGGTTAGCCAAATATCAGCAGAGCCTTGTACGACCAGCAGGGGTCAGCATTTTGGACGGCGCAGTTAAGGAGGCAGCCTGTGCCGAAGTCAATCTGGCGCTTATATGACCCGTGAAAACACAGAGCAGTGGGACGGGTCTGGACGCGCGCTCCGCTGCGGGTACGAGGGCGGGGGGGGGACGCCGAGCCTGCTGGAGGCCCCGTGGGGGGCCCCGAGGCGTGCCAGAACCATGCCGCAGACACCTGTCCTGGACTGGCACGTCAGTTACTCTTTGTGAGGCCCCTGGCCCCTGCTGTGAAAGGAGACGGACACCCGCTGTCCCAGGTGTGGCACCCGGGTGCCCCCCCCCCCCAGGCACCACCTGGAAAGATCTGGCATAATCGTCCCCTCTCTGCATCTCCCGGCACACAAACGACTCCGATGACAAATAAGTGACACGGACGGGGATTAGTGGCCCTATCAGCGTGCGGATCAGGGCGGGGGGGGGGCACACGTCGATGGGAGGTGCTGATTAAGCCCGATCTCCTTTGTGCATGATGTGCAGGGCTGTTTATTTCTATGAATATGAAAAAAGCAGAGATTAGACAGCACTTTCCCACCTATTAGAAGTTACAGTGCATCTTATAATAAATCACAGAGAGCGCTAGTCTGCCTGTCGCCCTTTCACACAGCCAGCCTGTTCAGGAATTAAATTAAGCCGTACCAGCCGTGTTAACAGGAAGCATTCCAGAAGCTTCTGAAGAGTAACATTTAAAAACCCGCTCGGGCCATTTTCGAGGGAGGTGCTGATTCTGCAGGACGCCGGCATGTCCTCCAACTAGCGCATGCCGGGGGGACAATCTGAAATCACATCAGACTCCC